TGTACAGCTCGACAGAGAGGTCCTGGGCGGTCTTGTTGGCAGCGCCGACAATGCGATCGTTGTTCTCAATCTCGTCCAGCATGCCAGTGCCGGGGAGGATGCGCTCGGGGCAGTGCGAAATGTAAAAGTCCTCGTGAACCTTGAGGCCCGACTTTTCGAGGATGGGGGTCATGACGTCGCGGCAGCAGCGGGGCGAGACGGTGGACTCGAGGACGACGAGGTTGCCCTTGCGCAGCACGGGGACGATGCTCTCGGTGGCCTTGGCGACGAGGGTGAGATCGGCGGTGGTCGCGCCGTGGGTGAGCGGGGTCGGGACGGCAACGACGAAAATGTCAGCCTGGGGCGGGGTGGTCTGGGCCGTAAAGTTCTTTCGGACGACAGGCGTGTCAAACAGCTCCTGGAGAACGGGCTCGCGGATGTGCAGGCGGCCCTCCATGATGCCCTGGACGACAGCGGGGTTGATGTCAACGCCGACCACCTTCCAGCCAGCGCGGGCGAGCATCAGGCACATGGGCAGGCCGACGTAGCCAGTGCCAATGACGGCGACAGTTTTGTTTGCATAGGCAGACATTGTGAGTTGCGGGGGGGGGGGTTGGGAGGTCTGCGCAGAACAGAGAGAAGAAAGAGAGGGAAAGGGTGACCAAAAGTGAGCGACAAACGGCAACCAACAGCGCAAGAACGGAGAGAGAAGATCAGAGAAAAGCAACGCCAGGACGAGTGAGAGCGAGTGAGTGAGAGAGAGTGAGCGAGTGAGAACTGCGCACTGTGTGGAACTGAACTGCACTGTGTGTGTGTGTGTGTGTGTGTGCTTGGCGCTGACGATCAAACAGAACGAAATCCGCCACCGCCGCCGCCACCGCCGCCGCCGCCCCAACACAATGCTCACAGAGACTTGAAGAGCGAGCTGGCGAGAGAGAGAGAGAGAGGCTGAGCGAAAGTGACGAAGCGAACGTGGTTGAAAAACGGACTTGTTGTGGAAGTTCAAAGATGATAAAAAAAAAAGAAAAAAGAAAAAAGAAAGAAAAAAAAAAGCACGCAGCCTGAGTGTGGAGCGCGATCTGAGGGAGCGACGTACGAGCGTGCAAGTGGGGGGGAAGAGCGACAGACACTGGGGGGGGGGGAAGACAGCCAAACGCTTGCAACGAAACGAGGAAACAACGAGCAAAACGAAAACTGGCGCAAAAGACGAAAGGGAGAGAAAGAGAGCAGGAGAGCGAGAGGGAGGGAGTGAGGAAAAATAATAAAATAATAAAATAATAATAATAATAATAATAATAATAATAATAATAAAAAAACACCACCCGCTCACTCGTCTAAGCAGAGATCGCGCAACGCGGATTGCAAAAGAGAGAGTGAGTGAGAGTGAGAGAGTGAGAAGGAGAGCGAGCGAGGGTTGGGCGATGAGTGGATGCGCGCGGCGAGGAGTGTGCGCTGAAAACACAATTGGCGCTTTTACAGTTTGAAGAGTGGACGAATCAAAAAACACCAGAAATCACAAAAAAAAAAAAAAAATGAATGAATGAAAAAAAAGGAGGGAAAAATAATAACGAACTGAGAAACGGCATTGAAAAAGAAGAAGAAGAAGAGATTATTAGAAAAAATAATGAAGGAAAACAGCGTGTCTCACAAACGCAGAAACAGAGAGAGAGAGAGGGAGAAAGAGAGAGAAAAAGAGAGAAGAGAGAACAGCACAGCGATCGCAGCGAGATCAAAGGGAACGCATTTGTGACAGCAGGGAGTTCAAAACAGAAGGACTCATTGCAGACCCACTGGAAGACAAAGAGTGACAAACGCTCCTCGCTTTTCAACCACGCGTTCGCAAGGCAACAGCAAAGAAGTGGGCGAATTTGGTGGACAACGACACCATCAGCTGCACACACACACACACTAAATTTAACAAAAGGTAAAAACAGCCCTCTCTACTGCCATCAACGAGTTGCGTTATCATCGATCGTCACCGCAGTGGAGGAGGGACATGAAACAGAACGAAACAGCGTGGACGAAAAGGCGAAAACTGAAATCAGAGCGACCTTTTCACAGTTGCAGTTGCAGAGGCACGAAAAAAAAAAACACGCGATACGCACTGCAGAAACAAGCATCAGCAGCACCAGAGTAGCCACCAAGTGCACACGTCGCTTGAAGAGAAAGAGGAAGGAAGAGAGACGAAACTGAAAACTGAAAACTGAAACGAAAAAAAACGACGTCCCACAGTTGCCATAGCGCGCACTGAAGGCAACAAGCATCAGCAGCACACCAATGCACAGAATGCACACGTCGCTCGAATAGGACGAGGATGACGGAAACGCACCAGCTGTGGACAGAGAACACTTGTCAGTGATCTTTGACAGCTCCATTTTTGGTTGACGGTTCGGTTTTTTGATGCCTTTTTTTTGTGTGTGTGTTTTTTTCGCTTATTTTGTTTTAAAATGGAAAATGTCACTTCCGCACGCCCCTCGTGCGACAGAGCCACGACGACGGGCGAGCAGATGGAGGGCGCTCACAGACCCGTTCGTGTGCAGGGTGAGGAACGCGTCCAAGAGATGGCAGCGGCGCGCTCAACCCAGCACCCCCTCCTCCGCGCGTTTGGATTGCCCTGCTCGCGGCGAAACTGTTCGCTTCGGAAGAAATAGAGCAAAACGAAGGAAAAAAAAAACGAACAACAAACGAAGAGCTTCAACTCCAAGGCGGCGTTGCCCAGAGCACCCCCCACATCTGGAAGGGGGACAGCACACAAGTGTACGCAGTAGCTGCGATTGTGGTGGTGGCGATGGTGGTGGTGCGAGTCGTGGTGCGAGTGAACGTTTGGGCGAATAAAAAAAAAAAGAAGCTCTGCAGGCACGTCACTCACTCACAAAGACGCCCCCCTCTCTCTCCTCACAGCCTGACAGAGTCACCGACTCCCCGCGAAAACAGAGTACAGCATCGGATTCACTCAAACACGCACAGCACAAACAGCGCACGCGCAATGCTCACTTACGATTGACTTCGACGGAAAACCAAGTAAGAAGACTGATCGATTGATTTGACAGCGCTTCGATCAATGGTTTGTTTTTGTTTGTGCTTCGGCGGTGGCGCGTCGCTGATTCGCTGATCTCGGTTGCGGTTGCTCCTGATTCGATCCGGAAACCAGGCCAGAACTGGGACAAGCACCGCGGGCAAGGGAACAGCCGAGTCTGCTTTTTTTTGACTGGCAACAGTTGTCAAACTAATTTTCCCCGCAGCAACCAACGACGACGATGCCAACGGAAGGCGGGCCCAGCAACCCCTCGCAGGCAGCCCCGTGTGACGCACGCACCCTCTGTCGAGGCCCTTCACGTTTGTTGTCTCGTGATCGGCGACGGCGAGGGCGATCGCCTGGGTGGGCTGCGTGGGGTAGAGCACCCCAGCAACGCCCCATCGCCCACGCTGGTGACTTCCGCTCCACAGCCGTTTTTTAATGCTGCTGTTGTCAAGAGATCTACCCGACGGCGTTGACCCACGGTGCGTTCCGCTCGGGTGATCCTGACTCGGTGAGTCATTTGGCACTCGAGAGCATCACGACCTGAGTGTGCACGCGCGTCCAGTCAACAGAGCATTGTGAATGAGAGTGCGAGGTACACCACTAGACTTGAAAAGCCAAGACAAAAACCACCCAATGGGGAGTGCTCATGATACGAGCGCATTGAACGAACTGGCGATTCGAGCGACCATGCTTGTTGGCGTATTTCTCGTTGCCCCGCGGTCCCCCTACCAATAAATCCACTAGTGATCGATGAGAAATATAGTTTCAAGTCAAATGTAGAGCGAACGCGTGTCCTCGCGTGTGCTGGGAACGTCAACAAACACTGGTCCATTTGGGCAAAATTCTTGGACTCGGCGAGGCGACGATCGCCCGTCCAGGCGCAATGCCCTTTCTTGTGTGTGCTTCTCAGATTCAATTGTATGCGATTCTGTTTAAAATCAATGGTTTGGGTGAAATTTACGCTGAAATCAAGCTTGAGGTGGACTGCAAAGCAAGTGTTTGCATTTTTACCAATGGAGCAATCAGTACGGCTCGATGCGCCCCAATCCCAGCCGTCTTCCTCATAGATACATAAAATAATTCATACAAGTAAAATAATGTCAGGACCCGAGTTTGCGTCCGTCCAGCCGGCGAGGTTAGCCGGTGGTAGTTAATGAGGATTTAGCATATTCTGGTGTATTTGGATGCTTTTGGATAGCTGTCATTGCGCATTTTGTATCAATCAATCGACGTTACCTGGCCAATAGCTCTAAGCCCCAACCCGTGGGAATCGGAGTCTCACAAATAAAAGCACAGCAGCGGTCAAAGAAGACAACGGGACGGTGTTATGGCATGCGCAACCCGTCACTTCACAGTCTATTCGGAGCACACCTCATCTCACACCTGCCGATGCTCCAGCTAAAGTCGGAACAAACTCTTGTCGATGCGCCAAACACTATATCAGGTCTCACTTTTGACGCCTACTTCTACTTTAGGATTCCCATTCCTCTTTTTTTTTTTGAACCCTACCACCACCGCCCACAACAACAATGACCACCAACGGCCACTCATCCACAACCGAGAGCATCCTCGCCCGCACTGCCGAGGAAGCGCTGGTCAACGGCCTCAGCAAGCTCGAGCTCGACGAGCCCTTGCTCAAGCCAAACCCACATCGCTTTGTGCTCTTCCCGATCCAGTACCACGACGTCTGGAAGATGTACAAGAAGGCTGAGGCGTCCTTCTGGACTGCAGAAGAGGTAACTTGAGTAACACCGTCAAACAGCTACTTGTACGAAGGTTGACAACTGGAGGGGAGAGAGCGGAGGAGGAGAAAAAAGGCAGTTTGGGTTTTGGCGGGAAAAGATCAGGAAAATTGGCGCCATGCTCTTTTGACGCGAGCTTTACATTCAAGCCGCCCCCGCTGCTCCTCCACTCAATGCGAACTCATATAGAAAGTGCCACTGTGTGTGGATTGGGCATGTCGGATGCGTCGCAGCAGTGGAGCAAAGCAGCGATCAATGCTTCCACAACAATGAAAATGCGCGCCAATTCGACGTGCGATTCCCGCCAAATGGCCTTCCCAAAAAACAAAAAAACCGCCGCTGCGTGCGATTGCGACAGCAACACGGAGAGGAGGGATTGAATTTCGCCGTCCACGTCCACGTTGGCAACTTGCTTGCCAATCGTGTCTATTGCGCATCACGTCTGCCGCCGCGGGACTGCGGCGTGGTCGCGGTTGTGGGAGAGAACACGTTCGTTTACACACATGAGGCCACACACCGTGTGTCAATGACACCAGCCAGCGCTCACAGTGCGTGTCTCTGCAACCTGGCACATCTTTGAACAGGTCGATCTCTCCAAGGACTTGAATGACTGGGACAAGCTCAAGAGCGAGGAGCGCCACTTCATCTCGCACGTCCTCGCCTTCTTTGCTGCGTCGGACGGCATCGTCAACGAGAACCTCCTCTTGCGCTTCAGCACTGAGGTCCAGATCCCCGAGGTCCGCTCGTTCTACTGCTTCCAGATTGCCATCGAGGTAAGCGGTCCAGTGTGCTGATGGTGGCGATGGCGAAAAAGTCTTGGCAGCGCCGTGCACTTCCACTCCATTGCATTGGCTGACAACTGACTCGGCTTGGTCACACAGAACATTCACTCGGAAATGTACAGTCTGCTCATTGACATGTACATTAAGGATTCCGCCGAGCGCGAAAAGCTCTTTAACGCGATCGAGACTTGTAAGTTGGGGGTTCGCCTTCGTTTTGGCTTGACTGTTGCGTCTTGTCACTCATATTGATCCTCTGCTGGTGTTATTGCTATGACGAATTTAGTGCCGTGCGTTGCCAAGAAGGCACAGTGGGCGCTCCGATGGATTTCCGACCGTCGCTCGACCTTTGCCCACCGCTTGATTGCCTTCGCCGCCGTCGAGGGCATCTTCTTCTCTGGCTCCTTTGCTGCGATCTTCTGGCTCAAGAAGCGCGGACTCATGCCCGGCCTCACCTTCTCGAACGAGCTCATTTCTCGCGATGAGGGTCTGCATTGTAAGGACGCGTTGTGCATTTGCGTGGCTTTGTGGAAGTTACGAAGCAACAGTACCTGACAGCTCACCCTCCACCCACCATCGACGTCACTGCGCAACCACTACTACAGGCGACTTTGCTTGCATGCTCTTTGGCCTGCTCAACAACCGACCATCCAACGCGGACGTCCTCGCCATCATCAAGGACGCTGTTGCGATTGAACAAGAATTCCTGACCGACGCCCTGCCCGTTGCGCTGATTGGCATGAACGGTGGACTCATGAAGACATACATTGAGTTTGTGGCCGACCGATTGCTCGTCGCCCTTGGCCAGGAGAAGCACTACAAGGTGGAAAATCCCTTCGACTTTATGGACTTGATTTCGCTGCAAGGCAAGACCAATTTCTTTGAGCGTCGCGTCGGCGAGTACCAGAAGCCCGGTGTCATGTCCACCAAGGACGAGCACCGTTTCACCCTTGACGCCGATTTCTAAAAGCGACGCGCAGTCCCGTGTGACCGCCTCCCTTGCTGCCCGCCCCCCCCCTGCATGGATCTTGCTTGGTGCCTCTGTTGATGCTGTTGTAGTAGTTTCCTTTGTCTTTTCTGCTTGTACTTTTTTTTGTGTGTATTTTCGCTGAATCCTTTTTGTTGTGTGCATGAATAATAAACCAAATCTCCCACGTTTCTTCTTGAATGTGATGTTCAATCTGTAGCTCTCCCCTTGTTGTTATCATCTTTTGTGCTGTTCACCCTCTCTCGCACTCTACTTTTTCGTTGTGATAATAATGGTGAGTGAACTTGAGTGGTGAATGGAAAATCCCATTCATTTTGGCATTGTTACTCGTGTGCCTCCTCACTCTCAACTCTCCACTCGCTCTCTTGACTCTCCAGGGCATTGGGAATCTCGGGCGCGTTGCCGCCGTGCTACTCTTCCAGACCGTGCGCATCACTGGTCGCGCCGTCCTCGATGCGTGGCAGCACACTGCGGCCTTCAGTGAGTGTTTTCGTTCCAGCCGCGCTCGCTCACATCCGCGCTTTTCTCGTTCGCCTTTTCGTCAGCGAGAGAGAGAGAGAGAGCAAACACGAAAGGGAGTTTGTTGTTCAGGAAGCGGATGAAAGCGGGACACGCGTGAATGTGAGCGAGTGTACAGTTGAATGAGAAGCGGAGGCACATGGACGACTCGCTCTTCCATCCAACGCCGCTTGTGGGGAGGGGGTTTGGCGACCTTGCCCTCGCCGATCCGCTTCACTGAGGAAGAGGAGTTGCTCACAACACCACTCGTTGAGGGGCTGCTGGCTGCGGGCGGCTGGTCGTGAAGGAGCAAACAAAAGAGAAAGGCCGAGACTGAGAGAGCAAGTCTTGGCAATGGAACACGCACACTATGATGATGACTATGACGATGACTATGATGCTGAGAACAGACCATCCCGTCATCAGCATACAGGCAGTCACCATCACTCCAATACCCCACTCAGACTCAGACTCAGAGCAGCGTGCATTAGCAGAAGCCAAGTCCCGATCGAGTGATGATGGAACTTTGTCCAGCCATCCACAGTCACACACTCGTACCACTCATCAGACTCATGCCAGCACGCTCTTGGGTCGCAACAATGCCAATCCTATTGTCGTTGATCTCATCAGGGGAAACGATACCCACAAACCATGCTCATTGAATTGCGCTCTTCCCCTCGTTTTGAACAGACGCTGCACAACGCGCTGCACGAGCAACGTCAAGGAATGTCGCTAAGGACGCCAACATGACCATCAACGAAGCACGGCAAATTCTCAACGTGAATCCATCCACCCCGCCAGACCAAATTCAAGCAGTAAGCAACACCCGACAAGTTTGTTGGCATCAGAGAGTCGTTGAGGAAGGTGAATTGGGTGAATGGCTTTCTTCCGATTCAGGTGTACATGTCGCAGTTCTTGCGGCGCTACGTCTAGTAGCTGTGCCTTGAAGGAGAGATGGTGGAATGGAACCAGCACGAAAACGAAAACTGGTTGATCTAACCCGTCTTCTCCTCCTTCTCCTCCTCCTTTCTCCTCTGCCCAACCAGACATACGAGAAAATGTTCAACTTGAACAACACACCGCATACATTCTATATCCAGTCCAAGATTTTCCGCGCAAAGGAGCGGCTCGACGCCGAAATTGCCGCCCGGCCAACTCCTCAAGCCTAAAGGCAGCATTTTTTTTTTGGTGAGAGATTGAGAGAAAACAACCACGACCGGCTCAAGAACGCGCGTCCTGCTTCTGCAGGTGCGATTTTACACTTGTTGGTTGGTCCAGGTAGCGGTTTTCTCGTGCCCTTCCACCATCGTTGTCATTTGTTTTTTCCCTGCAGTAAACATCCTTGTTAATTTCGTCCTTCGTGATCCGAGTACGATTGACTGAAAGTCACGCAAATCCTACGAATCCTACGAATCCTACGAATCCTCGATAAATCCCAATGCAATGCCAAACCTCACTCATTCTTCTTTTGCTTTTCCGCTCTTCCTTCAATTCGCTCTTTTCCGCTCTTCGACTTTTTGTCCACACACTTCCACACCTCACTTCATTGACCACATTTTGAGCAGCACAGCCAGAGATCAGCTCGTTGTGTGTGTGTGATAGTCGAGTGAACGGAGCTTGAGTGACTGTGTACAGCAGAGCAGCACAAATCGTAAAAAATCCCTTTGTGAGAAATTGAACAGCCATGGACGAGCACATCTATGTCGTGCCGCGGCCAGCACGGAGCCGCGCCGGGTCGAGTGCCAGCGTGGGAGGCGCAGGAGGAGCAGCCTCGCGAGGGCATCCGAGGCCATCGCCACTCAGCAGCAGCAGCAGCGGCAGTCGCAGCCATCGAAGCAACTCGAGTTTGAATGAGTCTTCCGACGCAAACCAGGAGCAGCAGGACCACCAGGCCACCGACGACGACCACAATCACGAGCATGGGCACGAGCACGAGCACGACGCGCACGACTACCAGAGCGACGGCGCAGACTCGTTCGCAGACGACCTCGACAGCCTCGGCGACGGCGACGCAGGCGATTCAGGCGAGGACGGCTACATTACGCTCCCGCTCTCCCGCCAAGCAGGTAAACAAGCGCAGGCATTTTCCGAGATGGAGGGTTCCATCATCCATCCATCCATCGGGGGTGACGTGCATCGAGTAGAGGGAAAAGGGAAAGGGGAGGGGGCAGTTGAAGGGACGTGTGATGGAGAGTGCTGAATTGGAATGGATTGGCAAAACGGGCAATGTTGAACCGCAAGCTCAGTAGCAAGGGTCGCAGCTCCATGGCTGTGTATCTGCGATGGAGTGTGTGCGTGTGTGTGAATATGAGCTGGTGAGAGCGAGAGTGAGAGTGAGACTCGGAGTGATGATGATGATGATCAGGAGGGGAAGAGAGTTGGAAACGTCTCATTGGCGCATTGGACTGTCCAATGTCCAATTGATGATGCGCTGTTGGCTGTGTCGGACGCAGTGGCAGTGCAGAGAGAGACAGAGAGACAGATAGACAGAGAGTGAGAGAGACAGAGACACAGAGTGACATGGCGAGTGAACCGGGCAAGAGAGAGAGAGGGGGGAGTGGAATTTCTGTGGTTTGGAGGGTTGGATTTTCAATGCCGCTCGCTCTGTGCGCTGCTTGACGTGACGAGTGCATCATCATCGAATGGTCTGTCTCGCCATATTCTCACTCGTTATGCGTCTGTGCGATGAGACGTTTGGGAGTGTCGCGCATCGAATGACCAACAAAACAAGAACAATAGAAAACAATAGAAAACAATAGAAAAAAAAAAAAAAAAAAAAAGACCGCAAAAAAAACACAAACAAAATTATTCACAAAAACAATTCAAAACGTCTGAAATGAAACAAAAGGTTTGACAAGACGAAGAAAAAGAGAGCAAAAAGCACGTTGTTCAATACTTCAAAGACATTTAGACATTGAAACACAATCCCACAAGCGCAGAAATGCTGACGAGTGGCTGAGAAGATGCTCAGAAACAAACGAAAACTAACAAATCGGGAAACCGGCTTTTTTGGTTTGTTTTTGTTTTTGTTTTTCTATTTGACTCACACAGCCGTCGCGTGGATGGAGTCACTCCTCGGCGAAGACGATCCAGTCGTCAGGTCGATCGGACTCGCCACCCCAGCGCCCATCAAGCGCAGACTGCAGGATGGCGTCTTGCTGTGCCGCCTATTCAACGCTCTCGCGCCAGACCACGCAATCGCCATTGACCAGGCACACTTGGACGCACTCGCGCTCGCTGCGCCCCTCCATGCAGACTCGGAAGATGATGCCGAGTTTTACGGGCATGTCGACGCAGACACTCGGCGAGCGTATCTCGACGCATTCTTGCACGCGACCGTGGAGCACTTGCAAATGGCTCCATCAGACCTCTTCACAGCCGAAGACTTGCAGGAAGGGCGACTGTCGCGCGTCTTGCACATGCTCAATGCTCTGACCGCCCACGGTGGCAAGCAGCCTGCGCTGGCGCCCACCGTGCCTCGCCCCATTTCCGTGGCCTCCGAATCCGGTCCCGAGAATGACGTAGACGAGGACGAGCAAGTGGCTGAGGAGGACGAAGAAGACAAGCATCTGTCCGAAGGTAAGGGGACTCGGTGAACGTGAGTCTGTGATTTTTCGTATGCTCACATAACACCACTTTTTGTTGCAGAGGAACGAGCGGCCAAGAGGCGAGCAAAAAAGCGCTCCATGATTGTGGCAGAGCTGCTTGCGACTGAAAAATCGTACATTCAAGATCTTAAAATGCTCATTGAGGTGGGTTTGCAGGTTGCACTGGTTTTGGAGGTCGAAAGAACGGCTTTTTTGACTTGGCCTTTTTTTTTTCCTTCTCGTGCTGTCTGCGTTTGTTTTTGGCGGATGCTCCAGGGCTACATGGTTCACATGGCCAACAACGACAAGGTGACACCAGAGACGCGAACCGTACTATTTGGCAATTTGCCAGAGCTATTGGAGTGCAATACTGCGTTTTTGGCCCTGCTAGAGCAACATACCACAGAGACATTCGCAACCTTGGGTCTTGCCTTTGTTGAAATGGTAAAGCAGGTTGTGGAGAGTCGGTAGGTTTTGTTCCGCCGCTCACGTCATTTGTAATCAATCGCTGTTTTGCTTGCAGGAGGAGCAATTCAAGTTGTACACGCATTATTGCATCAATCACCCTCTAGCCGTGGCTACGTTGCAGCAACTCTTGGCTGATCCTCCGTTTGCCGCCTTTTTGACTGTAAGAACCTTGCGAGATGCCGGTTGTCGATGTAGTTTGCAAAACCAAAAGTCTCACTGTGCGTTTGTACATTGTCCCATGGCAGGCTTGCAAATTGCTCCTTGGACAACAACTGGACTTGTCTGCCTACCTGCTCAAGCCTGTCCAACGCATTCTCAAATATCCTTTGCTCCTGAATGTACGCGATTTTCGATGAACCCTGCTCTCTCTCTCTCCCCTCCACCAGCTCCCAGAGTCTTGCTCCAAGTCAAACGCCCATCTAACTCTTCATCTTATTGTTGTTGTGCTCCTGGTAGGAACTCCTCAAACAATCTCGCGAAGAGGACGACACAGAGTTTTGGGGCAACTTGCACAGCGCCATTCAGGTGATGAACAATGTCGCCCACTGGATTAATGAGCAGCAACGCATTTCCGAGATGATTGCAATGATTCGCGATCTCCAATCTCGACTCATTGGATGGGATGTACGTACAAATACTGTCGCGAGTTGCATTTTTGCTCCCGTTTTGCGCCACCCCTCATCCCTCCTCCCCTCGGACACCCCACCCCCTCCTTTCCCCCACACCACCTTCGCACTTGTTTGCTTGCCAAAATAGGGCGGGGATCTGCTCGAACTCGGACGGTTGCTCGAAAAAGGCATGTTCAAGGTCGTGGACATGCGCAAGCAACGGCACGACCGCATGCTGTTCCTGTTTGAACGCGGTCTTATCTTTGCCAAGCAAAAGGAGAAGGACGTCTATACTTTCAAGGAGTTTATCGAAATTTCCAAGCTGGTCGTGAACGACACACCGCAAATCGAGGGCGTTGACGTGAGCAGCATGTTTGAGGTCACGCGCAGCGACAACCGCAGGGTGTACTTTGGAGTGACATGCAAGTCGGACGAGGACAAGCAGTGGTGGGTGTCCATGCTGGAGCAGCTGGTGCTGGACGACATGAAGTCCTTCCTCACCAAGAAGGCCAAGGGCGGCTTTTTGCTGTCCTCGCAGCCAATCTCGTCGACGCTCGCGCATGCAGTCCCGATTTCACAGATGAGCGTGCCCAGCAAGCCGATGAGCGGCGTTACTTCGCCAGGCTACCTCAGTTCCTCCTTCCCGCTTGGCGGCATCAGCCTGCTCTCCCCTGTCTCCAGCACAGACAAGCTGGAAAAGTCGGCCACCGGATCGACGTCAGGCTCTGCAACTCCGCTCGTGTCTGCGCCCCCTGGTCAGGTGGCTGGCGTGAAAAAGTCTGGTCTGAGCAAGCAGGGATCCTTCTTGCACGGTCTTCTCAAGCGCGGTCGCGGCTCGACAGATGACGACTCGTCGGTTGAGAACGGCTCGCCTCTTTCTCCGACTGGCTCAGCGACCGCCTTCCCGCCATCATCGTTGCGACGCGAGCAATCACTGCCCAACGGTCCGAAAGGTCCGGCGCCAATGTCCATGCTGGCAACTGCCGCGGCGGCCGCTGCAGCAGCTGCATCCACAACATCCTCGCCGTCGTCCACCACGACATCGCCAGGACTCGCGCCCCAGCCAACACTGCGACTCAAACCACCCCCGCTTCCTGGGTCGCGGCCTTCTGCTGAAGCATCTGTCACCGTCGACGATTTGAGCATGAAAAGTCCAATCGCTATTGTCCAGGAGAGCGAGCGTGGCCGCAAACGTTCGCTGTCGACTTCCAGTGTCGGAACGCGTAGCGACTCGCGTACTGGCAGCATCAGCGAGCGTCCGTCGTCGCAGTCACGCTCCATGTCGACGGAACAAGAGGCGAGCGATCCGTCGTCGACCTCGCCGACGCCCTCGTCAGTACCTTCAACGCCGCTGACACCCACTTTCCGCACCAGCATGGACGACACGGGCCAATCCCTCAAGCCTGCCGTGCCTCGTCCTTCGCGCGCCGCACCAGCTGCGCCAGTGTCAAAGGGCGTGTCCCCCGTGGCGACCCCGCTTCCACCAGTCACTTTGCAGCTGCAAGAAGCTGTGGACGACGAATCCGATCTCTCGGAAGCGTCCAGTTCGAGCTCTGACGCGACGTCCACCCTGCAGTCGGTTGTCTCTCCCTCCGCCATCCGCAAAGCCGTTCCTCCCGTCCCAGGAGGTGGCGTCACCAAGCCTCCTCCGGCCGCACCATCGTCTGCTCCCCCCTTTGTCTCTACTACTCTGCCCAAGGTGGCGGCCAAGCCGCCAGCTGCCGCACCCGCGCGACCCGTTCCAACCGCCCCTGCAACCCTTGCACCGAAGCCTGCTATGGCAGCAGCCTCCTCCGTGTCTCCAACCGCATCTGGTCTTAATCCTCCAAACCTCCCACCCAAGCCGTCCGTCTCGCCCAAACCTGCTGCTGCTGCTGCTGCTGCTGCTGCTGCTGCTGCTGCTGCTGCGGCAGGCCCTGCTCCCAAACCCCTCACATCAGAGCCCCATTCACAAGAAGAAACAAGTGCTCCGGCTGAGACCGCTCCGCCGTCATCGAATGGCGCAAGTGCTCGCCACCCTGTCGGCCCGAAACCTTTGCGCATGTCTCCGGCTGCCGCGCTTGCAGCAAGCCATGCGGCGGACACTGATGCCGCCAAGAGCAACGGAGATGCTGTTGAGAGTGCACCGCATCCCAAACCCGCACTTGCACCAAAGCCGACATCCGCCCAAGTCGCCATTGCCGACAAGCGCCGCTCTGGACACAGTCGACCGGCTTCCGGCACGTTGGGCAAAACAGTCGGCTCGCGCCCTTCAAGCAGCAGTCGGTCGAGTGGTTTGAATAGTTCGCACCCGGCAGCCTCCGCGTCTGGCGTGAATTCCCACTCACATGACGCGGCTACTGCGGCAAATGCAGCGGCCGCGACGGGCTCTCACTTCCATACAAAAGTGACTGTGCCAGCTGGAGCAGCCGCGTCTACTCTTCGCCCCAAACCAACCGGACGACCTCGATCCATTGTTCGTACCCACGGGAACGCAGAACATGCACCCACTGCTTCCGAGCCAACAGACAGCGCTCCCGCCTCCGCCGCCTCCACTGCAACAACCAAACCTGCCGCTCCGCCACCAAAGCCCGTTCCCAGCCTGGGTGTCAAGCCCCCGCCCACGCTTGTGCCCAAGCCGACGCCTGCGCCAGCCAAGCCCGTTGCCGAAACTCCTGCCATTCCGGACATGCCAAAGCTCGCCGACATCCCCAAGCCCAACTTGATCGGTCTTGCGGGAGGCAAGCCGCCGCCGAAAGCCCTTCCGTCCAAGGCCCCGCCCGCTCAGCCTCTGTCGGCCCCGAAGGACGTGGCACATGGTGCAGGCGCAAACCCGCTGAAATCCGTGTCCGCTACCTTGCCCAAGCTGTCGACATCAGGCTCGTCGCCTCACGGCAACAAGTTTGCAACCATTTCTGCCTCCGCCGGCCTGACCAAGGCATTCCTTGCCGAAGTCAAAGCTGGCTCAGACGGAGCGTCCAGCTCTGAAAGCCAGTCTTCGGCCGCTTCAATCACTTCGCCGACAATGACCAAAGCAAAGGTGCCTCTGCTTCCTCCCGGCAAGCCTCGTCCAGCTGGCCCTCCTGTGCCCGGCAAGCCCTAAGGAGCCAATCTCTTGTTTGTTTCTGCTGTTCCCCCCCCCCTCGCTTTATAGGATACTGTTTCCGTATCTTGTTTTTGTTTTGACTACATCTTACTTTTTGTTTCGATGCGTTCGTGCGACTGTTTTTTTTTGCATCGTTGTTTTGCTTTCCAACATCCTTGGCTTTATTTTTTTTTGTTGTTGTTGTTGTTGTTGTTGTTGTTGTTCTTGTTGTTGTTTTGTTTGTCGCAGCTGCTTGTTTGTCTATACCGTGTGTTTTTTTCCTGTGGGAAATGAATCAAATTTCGAAAACTACTGCATTTGAACAATTCGGGGTTTGTAAAATCGCCACAAGTACAGTGACTTGAACGCTATGAATCAATGATGATGATGACGGTGGTAGCATGCGCCACCCTTCATGCCGATGCTTGCTGCCGGGATTCGTGACGACGATGGGCTTCCTGCCAAAAGGCCAGCGACTGCATTTCAATCAGGCGAGAGATGGCTCGCTCGCACGCAAAGATCTCTTCGTCTCCGTTGAAGATGGAAATGTCTGCCGCAGCGTCCTGTCCATGCCAGAAAATAAAGCGATGAGAATGGAACTCGAGTGTTGGTGAGTGGTTTTTTTTTGTTTTTCGACATACCTTTGTCACACCCAGGCCGTCCATGAGCTCGCGATTATCCACAAACTGAGAGGCTTTGGTGTCGCGCAGATTGAAAATTTCAAAGGGCGTGCCTGCCGCCGATGCCACGAGCTTGATCTGCAGACGGAGCATGTCAGCAAAAACATTGGACCACTGCGTTTCCTCCCGAACAAAAAAAAAAAAAAAAAAAAAAGGAAAGGACGTCACCAAACGACTGTACAGCAGCTGCTCACCTTGTTGTCGTACATGGCGTCAATCAGAGTGATCAGACGGCGAGCAGAATCCTTCTGGAGAAAAGTCAGCCGAGGAATCTGACGAATTACGATGGTGTGGTAGTGCTTGATGATTTCGAGATAGTCCGCAGCGCTCAGCGGCTACAACAGCAGACGGCCAAAAAAAAGTGAAGAAACAAACACGTGTGCAACCAATTGCAGCGGGTCGCTTGTCCATTTCGTTCAAAGTCGCTCACCTTGACGCAGAGGTCGGTAAAGTCAAACATGGCCACGCCGCCACAGGCAGCAGGCACGTTGACGGTACGGCCAAAGACACTGAGACTGGCCGGAGCGACAAAGCCGTGCTCTTCTTCGGCCAGTTTGTTAAAGATGGCAAACACATCGGCATCAGGGTCTTTGCTGTTGTCGGGCGACAAAAAGAGGTTGGAGCTTGGCCGAGCAACCTTCCTGTAGTCAATGCCCGAGCTGAGTTGGTACACGTTGCATTTCGACTCGACAAGGGCGATAAAGGGGAGGAATCCCTGGCGTTGCAAACCATTCTTGTACAGATCTAACGCAGCAAAGAAAAGGAGTGCGGCGGTGTGAGAGAAGGTCAAACAAAACGCAAAGAGGCAAACTTGAACTGTTCCGTGGACAAACCTTTGGGCGCACGGTTGGATGTAGACACGATGACGGCACCACGAGCCATCAGCTGGCCGAACAAGCGACTGAGAATCATGGCGTCGACAATGTCTGTCACCTGTCGTTCCAAAGAGAGCTCCGGTATTTGAGACAAATCAAAAAGGTGCAGAACTGCACATGTTGCCAAGAACCAACCAAAAAAATGATGGATGCAACAACAAACAATTACCTGGAACTCGTCAAAGCACAACAGCCAGGCTTCCCCGAAAAGCTGGTCCACAACTGGAGGAATCGGATCGAGCTTGCCTCCAATCGACGTGATACCCTCTCGCGCCATCTGCTCCTTCCAGGCATGGATTCGAGAGTGCACATCGAACATGAACTCGTGAAAGTGCACGCGACGCTTCTTGATGCTGGAAGGCAGGGCGTGGTAAAACAGGTCCATGACCATGGTCTTGCCAGAGCCGACATCGCCGTACAGGTAAATACCTTTGGGAGCGGGGTGCTCGGGCTTTGCTCGATGGAAAAAGGACGCGAATTTGTTGGCAAAGGAGGCTGACGGCTGCTGGTGCAAACCCGAGGCGGGCGGGCGGTAGTGCTCGAGTTTTTTGCACAGTGCCTCGAGGTGAGTCATGACATCTCGCTGGACTTGATCTGGTCTGTGTTTGTTTTGATTGAGTATATCGATGCAGAGGTGGGGGGGGGGAAAGGTTAAGGATGTTGATCGTTGCACATTGCATTGCACATGAGT